GGTCGAAGCCAGTCCCGAGCTCAGCAGCAGGGCTCCGTTCGAGCGACAACTCATTGTTGTTTATCATTGCATGCTATTCGTTGTCCACCCCGGATCCGACTACCTACTGAGATGGCGGCAATGGTCGAAGCCAGCCCCGAGCTCAGCAGCAGTACACCGTTCGAGCGACAACTCATTGTTGTTAAACATTGCATGTTATTCATTGTCCACCCCATTTCCGACCTTCTACTGAGTTGGCGGCAATGGTCGAAGCCAGCCCCGAGCTCAGCAGAAAGGGCACCGTTCCAGCGACAATTCAGTGTTGTTTAACGTTGCTTGATTCATTGTCCTCCCCGGATCCGACTACCTGCTGAGGTCGTTGCGACGGCCGAAGCCGGCCCCGAGCTCAGCAGCAGGGCACCGTTCGAGCGACAATTCATTGTTGTTTGTCACTGGATGTCATTCGTTGTCCACGCCGGATCCGACTACCTACTGAGTTGGCGGCAATGGTCAAAGCCAGCCCCGAACTCATCAACAGGGCCCTGTTCGAGCGACAATTTATCGTTGTTTGACATTGCATGTCATTTATTGTCCACCCCGGATCCGACCTTCTACTGAGTTGGCGGCAATGGTCGAAGCCAGCCCCGAGATCAGCAGAAAGGGCACCGTTCGAGCGACAATTCAGTGTTGTTGAACGTTGCATGATTCATTGTCCACCCCGGATCCGACTACCTGCTGAGGTCGTTGCGACGGCCGAAGCCGGCCCCGAGCTCAGCAGCAGGGCACCATTAGAGCGACAATTCATTGTTGTTTGTCATTGGATGTCATTCGTTGTCCACGCCGGATCCGACTACCTACTGAGATGGCGGCAATGGTCGAAGCCAGCCCCGAGCTCAGCAGCAGGGCACCGTTCGAGCGACAACTCATTGTTGTTTATCATTGCATGTTATTCATTGTCCACCCCGGATCCGACCTTCTACTGACTTGGCGGCAATGGTCGAAGCCAGCCCCGAGCTCAGCAGAAAGGGCACCGTTCGAGCGACAATTCAGTGTTGTTGAACGTTGCTTGATTCATTGTTCACCCCGGATCCGACTACCTGCTGAGGTCGTTGCGACGGCCGAAGCCGGTCCCGAGCTCAGCAGCAGGGCACCATTCGAGCGACAATTCATTGTTGTTTGTCATTGGATGTCATTCGTTGTCCACGCCGGATCCGACTACCTACTGAGTTGGCGGCCAACGGCCGAAGCCAGCCCCGAACTCACCAACAGGGCCCTGTTCGAGCGACAATTTATCGTTGTTTGACATTGCATGTTATTCATTGTCCACCCCGGATCCGACTACCTGCTGTGGTGGCGGCAATGGTCGAAGCCAGTCCCGAGCTCAGCAACAGGGCCCTGTTCGAGCGACAATTTATCGTTGTTTGACATTTCATGTCATTTATTGTCCACCCCGGATCCGACTACCTGCTGAGGTGGCGGCAATGGTCGAAGCCAGCCCCGAGCTCAGCAGCAGGGCACCGTTCGAGCGACAACTCATTGTTGTTTAACATTGGATGTTATTCATTGTCCACCCCGGATCCGACTTTCTACTGAGTTGGCGGCAATGGTCGAAGCCAGCCCAGACCTCAGCAGCAGGGCACCGTTCGAGCGACAATTCAGTGTTGTTTAACGTTGCTTGATTCATTGTCCACCCCGGATCCGACTACCTCCTGAGGTGATTGCGTCGGCCGAAGCCGGCCCCGAGCTCAGCAGCAGGGCACCGTTCGAGCGACAACTTATTGTTGTTTATCATTGCATGCTATTCGTTGTCCACCCCGGATCCGACTACCTACTGAGTTGGCGGGAATGGTCGAAGCCAGCCCCGATCTCAGCAGCAGGGCACTCTTCGAGCGACAATTTATCGTTGTTTGACATTGCATGTCATTTGTTGTCCACCCCGGATCCGACTACCTGCTGAGGTGGCGGCAATGGTCGAAGCCAGCCCCGCGTTAAGCAGCAGGGCACCGTTCGAGCGACAACTCATTGTTGTTTAACATTGCACGCTATTCATTGTCCACCCCGGATCCGACTTTCCACTGAGTTGGCGGCAATGGTCGAAGCCAGCCCCGAGCTCAGCAGCAGGGCACCGTTCTAGCGACATTATTCCGCCTGATGCTATGGGGAGTGGTATCATACATCATCAGCCGCGCCTACGACTTCGTTTCTATTTTCTCGTTTTCATGGCGTACCTACATTCCCACACGGGAGTTCAATCATGTGTAGTGCGTTGGTTCAATCACGTTTAGTGCATTGGGTGGTGGAGACGGTTACGCATGGTTGCGCATAGATAGCCGAATACCAGCATCCCCGTACAGGTGGCGTCATGATGAGGATGTACCGGTATGTATATAGGCACAACAGTAGCCCTCGATTGCTGTTCGCCTGCCGCTCGGTTGCAGAAACTGAACGTTGGCCGAGGCAGACGAGAAGTACAAATGGGAGCACACAGCAGACTGCTGTCGAGCAGACTGGGCGAACTGTGTGATCTCATGTGGCGGCGTCCTATGCATACCTCCAGCATGACACACGACGGAGTTGCACCGCGGGCAAGGTGACACGGTGACGGCACGGCTGTCTATTGATAACGATGGTGGTGGATGAGATTTGATTAGCCAGCCCTAGATGAGATTTGACACGAAGACACATACTACGCGGGTTGTCAAGCCCCCAGAGTAGGTAGTAGTCCCCTCGTAGTTCCACGGCTGGTCGCTCCAGCCGAGCGTGTTCCATCATCATCTTGCCCTCGTCGCGTACGCTACGAATTTCTGCTAGCTACGGGTCCAAACTTCGATGTGGCTAGCTGCTGCCCTCCTTCCCGGGTGACCCTCCGACGCGGGCTGCGTGTTACACACTGTGCATTCCTCAACACGTGGCCCTTGGTCCAGTAGACACGCGTCTATCATACTCTTGATGCAGGAGCAGCGAGAGGCAGCAGAATGAGAACTCCGTGAGACCTTTCTTTTTGTAAGACCCCAGAAAACCAAACCAAGACTACCCAACCAA